TAGAAAGCATAGTCCCATGCCTTGTAAATCCTATTTATTTTCGAAAAAAAAAAGAACTATTCATGTTAATATTTGAAGTCAAAGTTGGCAAGGTTTTTTTCTGATCATGCCTTGTCTTTGATATATTCTAAACAGCCATGATACTGACCAAACATATCTATAATGGCAGCTGTATACTGTATCAGAAGCTTAAATTTACGAACTACATCAGTATTAAGATATAGGTTATGAGTCATGAAAGAAAAGTCCCATTTATCGTTGTGTATATGGTTTATTATCTATCTTTCTGATACAGCTGATTCGTCAGAAATCAAAGCAACATTGTAGATGTTTTTTTTTCTCATGTTGCTCAATCTTTGGTGCACTAGGATTTACTATTTGAGAGTCACTCTGCATCATGTGCTAGATCAAGCACATGAATGCCAGAACTATCAAATGAGTGTTTTTCGCTGTGCCTCAATCATTCAGATCTGACGCTTACAAGTATTTGTGCGAAGAAAAAACAAATCATTAGCTGCAGTAAATATTCGCGTACGCTTTTTTCAATCCTATTTCAGACATTGTCTATATTACTATTTTTTCGATCGGTACAACAATAGTGTACTCAATATATAATCATAGGTACAGTAACTACGTTTTGTTTGCATCACTTTTCATACATACTTGAATCCTTTGATTAGAACGCATTCTAGAATAGATAAAGAAAAGAACACATGAACATTTGAATACCGTTTGAAATACCTACTTCGATCGTATATAAACCCTTTGTCTGACGGCCAAAGGTTGACGCCAGACATGGCAGAATGTGCTTCATTGTTCGAATATTCATTGATTATATTCGGTGGAATATAAATAGCTTGACCTCCACATGATTCACCAGGGATACGATAAGCCAAACGTTCAACGCCGGCAACCAAATTATTCTATTGGAGAAAAGAGATCACTTGTGAAAATTGAACAATGCACTCAAGATATCAATACAAACTTGCAATCTTACACTGGTAGCATCACGAGCCATAATTGCACCATCATAATTCGAACTAAATTCGGCAGTCGATGGATCTTGGCCTGTACCCACCCAGTAGACAGTTGTGACGAGATTATTTTGAACGATATTGTTCATTCCAGTCACAACAATGCCTGATCGATATGTGTTGTATATAACATTGTTTGTAATTGGTATGCCATTTGTGCTCCGCATACCAATCCTGTAAATGGAGCATTTATAAAGAGAAGTAAGTGATTACATCATGCTTACGCTGCATTAAATCCACCATCGAACGAACAAGCATCGATGAAAGTAGCTCTACTTGGATTATAATCACCGAGACGATTCATATAAATACCTGATAGCTGCTCACTATAATAACCATCAGCCAACTGTCCGAAGCCGATAAATTGCGTATTCGATAATCGAGCATAACCTTTATAGTATGCATTATACATGGTATTGGAGTAAATATGTAACACATCTGTTCGATAGTCAGTGATCAAAATTCGAAATCCAGATAGACTAGATCCTAGATATTGATTAATTACGCGTATGTTACGTGTCAATAATCCAACTGCAGCGGCTACATTTATCGTTTGTCCATTACCTAATGTATGTTGAATAACGAGATGACTATATGCCAATGGTACTTGAGTATGTATTACCGTCGCATTTTCAATATTGATGATGCGATGTCGTTCAGTGTGAGAAATGCTTGTATCTGTTGTTGTTATGATAATTTCATCGTTGACAACCCAACTGACTGGTTCGCGCAAGATTATTACATTTTGACCCGACATAGCGGTCACAGCAAGGCGTGTCCAACTAATCCCACGTGGTACACCATGTAAATCAAGGCCACCCAGAACACCGATAGTTCGTGGCTCTATCAGTGGAAAATTCCAAGGTAATTGCATAGTAACTGGACCAGTATTTCTCAAAATAATGTCGACACTACCATTGAACGGAGCATTGGGTAAACCTATCAGAAATTCACAAAATATGAGCAACATTTTTTCAGCGCTAAGATATTTACCGGCAATCAATCGACCACCATTAATAAAAATGCTATCAATATATATTATATGATTACCTCCCTAAAAATAATGAAAATTACAAGAAAACATGCAAATATTTGTCATAACAGAGGATCTTGCCTGTTGAAATTCAACTACGCCTTCAATTTTCAATGCTCGGATAGGTGGAAGCGGACAATCGATTATTAGCCAAATGCAACGAGGAACAAAGATATTTTTGTTGCTTTCGGGCTTCGCACCAACTGGAATAGATTTTCGTCATAAATAGCTATAAAAAATTAAGAGTGAACTTACACGAATTAGCATAGTCTTGAGGTCCGAATGTCCAGTGAGAATCAACCGACCAATATCTCACGTCGAGAGCTTGGCACTAAAGCAAGATAGATGAAACAAAAAATGTTTTTAAATCGAGAAGTAGGTTTGAAAAATATAAGACTCGGTCAACTCTTCATTCAAAATTAAGCAGTTTAAATGAGCCCAAGTATCTGCTTATTTAAAAGTGATGAATATGACTTATCGGCTTAATACTTGTATCATTTCATGAAGCGAAAAATTTTAAGTTATCTCACACCATTGAGCCTCGCTGAAGCTTGTTTAAACGGGAAAGTGACGTTTCGTCTCACTTTTCCGTTACGGACTCCGGTTGTCATAGTCTGTTACGATCTCCGGACATGAGAAAAAAGACAGGGTGTTCGGAATGGAATTGTCGATGACAAAATTAATAAAATGCAACAAAAAACAGGATGTTCGGAATGAAGTTTGTCCAGGAATTCGTAACGAAATCTAACAACCTATTTTTAGTAATTGAACAATGGAATTTTTACTGGAGATTGGAATGAAAAGATCCAGAAGTTTGTGATGACAAAGACAGGGTGATTGTAATAAAGACTACCAGATCTTCGGAATGAAAATGACAGGATATTCGTAAAGAAAAGAGCAGGATATTTGTAACTACCTATCTTGAGACATACTCCTTGTAATATTCTGAAGTGGCATGCTTGTCTTCTAAGATGGTTGATTAAGAACATCCTAAAAAATACGACCACTCGAGACTGCTTACTTTTACTATTCCAATTCTAGTTGGAACAGGAAAAAAACAAACAGTCTTTATTCACTTTTACATTTAGATTTGAGTAGATATTCAATTTAATATTATAATAATAAGAATGAAATGTACAGATAGAAATTTTCAGTATATTAATTTTTTCATACGTTTGGATCTTACTCGTTACGATCTCCAGTCCTACACTAGATACAGCAATTAACATTTTGTTCCGAACATCCGGTTGCAGTATTCCGATTTCCCTGCTTTTCAATTACGGTCTCCTGTAGAGAAACATATACGAACTCCGGTCATTAACTATTAAGGACAAAAGTTCATTTCCGGACATCTGGACACATGTCTGGAGTTCGGAATAAGTTGAGACGAAACGTACGTCACCCGTTTAAACACACTTGACGGATACCTACAAATCAATGAACCGGAAGGTATACCTTATCTCACCAGGTTAAAATTTATTTTCAGTTTTGATGACATTCGTATAATTATTATTTCCAAGGGTTAAAGGTTTTTATTTTTCTGAGCTTTACAAGAAATATACAGGTAATTTTATTCAAGAATACTCCCTGGTTCATACCAACTAGAGTTTGAAAATAGTTCAGCTGAAAAATGACTCTGCTCAGGCATGCCCTTCTGAGATCGAAACTAGGTATCAAATGCCTTTTGAGCCGTTTTTTATTCAGTACTATTCATTACACTCGTTCGATTAGTTTTGTGAAAGATCATGTCCTTCTTTTAATGAAAAGTACATCTTTGTCAGAAAAAAATATAGCTCGCACTCAAAATGTCCATTTATTGATGTTTGTGCAACCAATAAAGACAGCAAAGATATGTGAAGTTGCTGATCATTGTATTATAAGTCATAGTCTATTCATCGAGTCATGTTTATCAAAAAACTAGAACAAGTATTTATTTATTTCGTACACGTATCCCTATCATCAAGATTTTGCTTTTTTGTTTTGTTTTTCGGCTATTGGACGTTTTTTAACTTTTTTTGACTAATACACAACTGATTAGATTTGAAGTCATCAGATTAAAAGAAAAGAAACTACTTTTTCTTCTGCGATACATCTTTTGATCATCACCATACATATAATTTTGATATGCCTGTGTAGATATTCCCTCACACTATTTTATGTCATTCATCAGTCTGATGACGAGTGGATCAACATCTGATAAATGCCACTTTTTCGTAAACTTGAATGAAGTTCACAGCTCTTGATGTATCAACTAGTGACATTGAAATCAAAAAAAACATGTCTACATTTTGAACTGCCTCGTCTAAAGACAAAGTTCTAGTTCATGAAGTGAAATCAACATATGAAGACAGAGTGATACGGAAAATAACGTTTGAGAATATTCTCCTTAGATTTTTTTTTCAAATATATTAAAGCAAAAGGTAAGGCAATTATAAGTGAACTCTCACCAGTTGCGGATTTGATGGTAATTCATCAACGGGTTGTATTGGAGGTAGATAAACAGTTGATGTGGTTGTTGTCGCCGTAGTTGTAGTGGCTGTTGTCTCCGTAGTTGTAGTGGCTGTTGTCTCCGTAGTTGTAGTGGCTGTTGTAGCTGTGGTTGTTGTAGCTGATGTAGTCGTTGCCGTTGTCTCCGTGGTTGTTGTAGCTGTGGTGGCCGTTGTAGTTGTAGTTGTTGGGCATCCACAGTTGTAGCACGGGCATATGTAAACTCGAAATGATATTTCTATATCAATGCTTGTGTTAGCTGTTGATGGGTTTTGAACTGAATAAATGCCTACATGAAATAAAGACATTATATAACAATTCTACCTACCGATGTACGAGAACAGAGACGTGACGCTGTCATAATACCAGTCACCATTAGTAGTATTCCATTGGGATAGTGGCATCGACAGCCCTGGAATCATCGACCGATTGACTACAGTATCAGCTCTAGCTGGTTCAACGCTCATTGGATGCTGAATGATCAGATAATTACCTGGAGCCACATCATAAACAACGCCGACATATATGAGGTCATCTGTACGCTAATTAGTGCCAAATCGGAAACGAAAAAATTGCACACAATGAAGCAACAAAGTAATCTTACTGAGTTCATTTGAAACTGGAGCGTGTACGTTTGGTTTGCTCTCAATACAACTAAATATCCTTCTGGATAGGTTAACTGCTCTTGAAGCCATGGTACAATAGTTGACGAATTCTCTCCATGAGAGATGAATAATTGACCTTGATTCCATCCCCGAAGATCACGGAGTGAAAACCGTAGCCAGGAACCTTCGGATAGAGGACATTGAATAGCATTTTCGAAATTGGGTACTTGTGTGCATGTCGATGATGAATTTGTGATGCCATCGGGTGCCATGATTATTGAATCGGATTGTCCACCCAAAGTACCATCCTCATCATGATATAGGGCATCGTATTCCCATCGAAATTTGCCACGAATCGAAACATTTATAAAGGACATGTTGGAGAACTTTGTTAGCCAACCTGTATTAAGGAATGATACAAATTACTATAGTACATAAAACGATCGGTTGCATTTGTACCTCCACAACGATCAGTACATCGGCCAAGGATGATCGGTCCGAATATAGCACGTGTCTCATTGCTTGAGAAATTGATAAAAGCAACATTACGAACACGAAGACCACGATCCCACATGACTATCAACCAAAAATGATACAACACATCATAGTAATATGAGTAAATATAAATATGTTAGACAATAAGAATGAATAAAAGGAAGTGCTCATAAATTTTTAAGATGGATAATCTTTGATACGAGTATCTGACTAAAACAACAGTAGAGGTTAATACCTAGTTTGTCGATTAGATTTCTCGCATGACATACACTCCAGTGCTATCTGTTTTAAGTTCATTTGTTCGCGAGAAATGTATTTGAGTTCATATTCCATATCAGCACATTGTTTTGACAAATGCGCAAGAGGGCGTTCGTTGCATATATATATATATGTGTCAGTTATCTTAACCATACTTTCTTTAAAAGAAACTATCAGAAACTTTGATACGATTCAGACTATTCCCGCCGTCCTGTTAATGAAGATTAATTAATGAATAGGTTGTCTTCCGTGATTCAAAAATATGATACTACGATCCGAGAATCTTGATGGTTGGGTATGTTGTTTTCTCAACTAACATCTAGTGTATTTTTATAATGAAAATGAAAAACTATACTAAAAATTGTACGTGACTGGAACAAATGGTCAGAAAATTCGTCTTACTTACCCACAAGACCTGCAGTGGATGGTATGATTGGCGTGGAAGAGATACCCGCATCGCCAATAATTATACTATCAATTACTGATGAGCCATTATCAGTATCATAGAATGTTGCGCGTAAATACTGTGGATTGGTTTCTTGATGGCCAACAGCTGTGATGTAGGCGATACCTATATCAGCATTGTCAAAGACTACTGCATTTTTTATTTGTGTTGTGCGAGTCATGACTAGCTCAATGCCTTTATTATTTTTCCACGATACCAAGCCTTCGAGTATCGCTTGTGACGGTTGAGTATCGTTACAATCACCCGAGATAGTGGGAGCATATTCAGGATAGATCCAGACTCCGAATCGACCCGTACTATGTACACTATTATTGTAGAAGCGACCGAAAGGGTGCCGATTAGGACAATAGTTGGGATTTGTAAGAACTGAAAGTCCTTCCGTTTTATTGCTCAATCGATACCAATAACCATAATGAGTGATACCAGCTACTGCATTGAGTTCGACAATATTTTTAGGGTTGGTTAACTATTCAAAAACATCTTCACCTAAGTATCATTAGATTATCATCTTACCCAAAAAGCAGCTGGCGTAAGATCTTCATTGAGAAGACTGGAACTGGATCGAACAAAAATGACCAGATTCCCTCGAAAAACATGCCCGACTTCAATGCCATCCGAGAGAAACATTGCATTGCCCCTATTCATATGTTAGACAGAAAGAATTACGGATCTTACTCAGCATCAAATTCATACATGATATTATATATAACATTGTTCTCAATAGCGATATAATCACTAGCCTGAATATGAACCGCTCGGTTGAATGATAGGTGAATAGAAGATGATTTCACAAAGGATTCGCTCATATTACCATTTCTCTGAAAATGTATTGCATAACGATCGAGACGAAACGCCTGACCAACGTTGAAGATCTACATAAGAAAGCTAAAGCAATCTAAGTCAGAAGAGCAGGCAATTGTCTACTTCGACATTGGACAAACGAACAACCACTCGTTGAGTATCATTCGTAGTATTGCTGCCCTGACTAGCCATGATCATCGCACCAAACTGATCAGAGCCGATCTCTTGCCCATATCGACCGAGAAAACATGTCTGTACAGCAAATTCGTCTGAAAACAAAATGAGTTTTCATTGCATCTGTATTCTGAATATTTCAAATTTTCATTATTTTCAACAGAACTTCACAAAACAATATCCATCGACATCATATTTCGGTTTTATTAATAAAATTAGATATGAAAGTATTGGTCTTTTCTAAATACTATACCGAAATAAAATTGGCGATGACTAATTATCAATGATTTCTTTTTGGCTACGAGTTAGGATTAGTTAAATCAACTTTACTGTCAACAGATAATTAATGACTGTTGCTGATCTATTCAGTGTTTTGACCATCTTAGTGAAAACTATCTTACCCGGATTAAACCCAGCCGGACATTCTTCTATGATTTCATTCCATGTTTCGGTAATTGAACCTGAATAAAAAAATCATAACGTCACATAAAATATTAATTGTCGACTATGGAAACCTTGAAAGACGACATTGTGCGAAAGAAGACCAACTTCACCGCGAACTTCGATGTTTGTTGAATTTAACGTTTGTGTAACGCCCAAATGGGTATACATCAATGGTGTGTCCAAGATTAATGTAAGTCCATCCGATGAGATATTCACAATTCGACGGATTTCACTTTCTTTCTGACTGAAACGATCACCCGTAGTTGCGATAACGATTTGACTATCGACATTCCAATCGATAGGTTGAAGAAGAGTGATTGTTGTTGAGCCATTACCAGCTGTCGCTCCGAGTTGTGTCCAAGTCCGAACAGTAGGCATTCCGTGCATGTCCACTGTTCCCTCACGCAAAGCCAACACTTTGGCACCAACTAATTGAAAACAAATCTTCAGAAATACTGCTAAATGAATGTCACTTACAAATAGGTAATTCTATCGATCGCAAGTGTCCATACATAGTGATAATACCACGATGTTGAAATGGATTTGACTCTGTTCCGACTTGAAGATGACCACCATTGACGATGACAATATACTCAACATTCAAAGTAACATCTTGTGAATCGTCGAAAATTAATGTGGAATTGTCGATGACAAGTACTTTCAGAATAGGTGTCTCGATATCCAAATAGATAGTCACATAGTTTTCAATTATCACAAGTGTGCCAGCTTCTGGTGGCTCATTACCACCCCATGTCCATGGACTCGACCAAAGATCAATGTATTGAAAATCAACTGAACTGATCGCATAGCCATTACCATTGACAAATACCTTGACTTGGGCTCGTACACTACTATATTGATAACTACCAGTCTCACATGTAATACTTGTTGTTGTAACTGTTTGCAATGAACATGACGACTCGGCAATAGTCACCGTTACGGCATTTGCAGAAGCTCTAGATGTTAAAAAATAATCACATAAGTGACGTGTTGGGCTTAAAAACTCACGGAAAATTGTTTCCATTGATAGTAATTCTCGTTCCACCACCTGTTCCACCTCGAGTTGGACTCACCGATGTTACTATTGCAGTCAAATTAGCTTTGTAGGTGAATAGTGTATTTTTACTGATACCATTGACAGTAACTGTTAAATTGCACGAACTATTTACTTCGACCATCGAAACTTCAGGTGTAACACAGATGAGTTGAACATTGGACACGATTTGCACCGACGAACAAGACTGATTACATATGTTGACAGTGACATCGGTTCCATTGAATCCATAGCCAAGAATCGTCACTGGTAGACCACCACCATAACCTCCTTCTGATGGTGTAGCACTCGTGACGAAGAGATCATGTGTGTAGAAAACATCCGAATTGGAATTTCCAATTTCGTCCACATGAACAGTGACTGCATGATGACCCGCTGATAAATTTAAACCAACTGTACATGCAATTGATCCTATTGAATAATTACTGACAATACATGCAGTATTTCCCACTGTGACACTCGTTTGCCCGTTGCCAACAAAGTTATCTCCAGTAATGACCAAGACTTGCGACCTATTGCCAAATGTTGGACTAACAGAAGTGATGTTGGGGGTAATTGTCTCATTGTAACTCAATGTGAATGAGGATGGAAAGGAAACTTGATGTGAAACGATAAGAATAGTAGCTGCATCGGAACTGTTACCTCGAGAAGGGATAATGCATTGAACCTGGCTATCCATTGCTTGAACTACAGGACACACATTTGAACCAATTGTGATTTGAATTTGGCTGATGTTGCTCGAAAATCCATGACCAATGATGGTCAGTATTGCACCACCATAGATGCTACAGGTCAGTGGTACTATTACCGATACGAAGGCCTCTGATGTGATAGTTAACGATGAATAAATATTTCCAACATCTGAAATAAACAAATCAAAGATTCAAGCATGAGCTGTAGTATACAATAACAGACCATCAATTGATCCAATAATACGATGTTGACCAGCTTCAACACTCATCACTGTGCAATTGATCGATTCATTCCTCATTTCTGTGACATTGCAAAGATTGCTATTGATGCTCACATGAGCATCAGCAGCTGTGTTTCCACTACTAAGCAAATTTCGTCCGGTGATCGTTAAATTTGTGTTGCCACGAATTACTGACGGACTTACTGAGTCAAAGTACGGTGTAATAAGTGTTACCCAAGAGAAATGACACGAGGCTAGAAGACATACTGACAGACTCGTGCGAACATAAACCAATACGGTTAAATTAAAATTCACATATGTTAACTCTGGTGGAGTAGTGAAGATGATTCGCGAATAGGATACAGATCCTATGTGTGTATAATTCGTACCTAAGATAAACACTCGCGTGTCATTTGATAGGAACCCGTCACCATCGATTGTCACATGAGTGCCACCATAAATCGAACCTGAAACAAATAGGTACACAAAGAAGCAGTCAGTTTTTTTCTTTAGCTCATCTCAGAAATTTTACCCATCATAGGAGAGATGTTTGAGATCGATGCTAGAAATCTAAATTGCAATGAATTGCGACTGGCTAGATAGCCCTGACGATAACGGGCAACACGAACAATTTGGTTCGTTGTGGCATCTAGCATGGAGTTCGCTGTGATCTGGCATATAAGTTGGTTCGACGACATATTTATTATGGGACAATGATACGATGATCCTATTTGAATATCATAATCACAAATATTCCCGGCAAAGTTTGTGCCTGTAGTAAATGTATTGGATTAGAAAAAGTGGCTAGAAAAGAAAACAGACCTTCTATTGTCACTTGGGTTCCAACAGGACCTTCCATAGGCGATATTGCAGTAATAGATTCGACTATGCAAAGTGTAGACAGAAACTGCGTCGGATTGGACAAAGTTGGTACTGATTCAGCACAGGAACTCGCATTAATTATGTTCCAAGAACATGATGAAGTAGGCACCGAAACTAAAAAAATAAATGTTAAGTCAAGGGAAAGTGTAGTGTGTGGGTGTGGGTGTGGAGGTTGGCTTTATCCACACCCACACCTAAACTTCACACCATGGTTACGACATTTCTATATAATGAAATATTTTGTTCATCTTCTACTCGAACAATGAGCATACCTGTTGGACTGCAATAGAGCCTTTGACCGGTATAGATTGATGTTGGTGAACACCACAATTGTGTATCGTTCACTGAAGTACACGCCGTGTAGTTGACCGAAGCGAAAGTAAATGGAAATGCACATGTTTGAGCTAACGAATGAAAATGACTTCTCGTTTCAAGAAATGCCTGTTGACACTTACCGGTAAACTTATCCAAAATAGTTTCCACAGTCATTACCTCAGGTTCTAAGGCTACGACATCAATCACACCTCTCATTGAATATCCGCTAGATGGATCAATATTTGGTGCCCAATAATAGAAAGTACCCATGGTATCAAATTGATAAGAAAATGAACCTATAAAATCGAGACAAGAACATGCATGTAATTTTGATTAGATGTTGCTTACCAGATGATGTCGCTGAACCAGAATCAAATCCGTTTGGTGCTAGTTCAGTACTGTACGCATTTGCTACTTGTTGTATCTTGTAATAAACTGGCGAACGAAGTTCGGCTGAACTCCAATACCAGGTAACAACGGTTCCTTGTTGCACTGTTTCACGACTAGGAAACCAAGCATAACCAAAGCCAAATGTCGGATGAATACCATTCGATGTGATTGTAACTTGACGAGCAGTAGACGCTGTTTGACAATGAATTTGATTCGATTGAATTAAAACAATGTTGCAAGGAAAGAGACGATTGCTTCGATCACGGAGTTGAATACGTGTTCCATTTTCAAAGCCTGCTCCTTGAACATAAAGATCGGTGCCACCATAGGCCGAGCCAACTTGAGGTGACACTTCTTGTACATAGAATCTGTATTCAATATGAAACAGAGGTCGTGCAAAACCCATTGAAGTACGAACCATGATCGAATAAAGCCCAGGTGGTTGTGTACTCAAATTCACTAGAATATAATTGTTTGATGAGTCTAAAACACGAGCACTGATTGTATCAATAAAAACCGAAACGTTATCGCTGCCGAATCCGGTGCCACTAATGTTTAATAGCCCACCAAGAATCGTCACAAAAGTCGGATCAATAGCATAAATAGTCGGCGTATTTGTCGAATTATACGTAAATTGCCCAGATGCAGTAGCCAAATTTAAGCCATCAATGGCAGTTACCGTCACCCGAATCAAACTCATACTACTACTTGGAGGAACAGTGCATTTGATTGAAGTAAAATTAACAACAGTCAAGTTTTCACAGAAGTGTTCGCCAAGCGTAATTAAGGCATTCGATGAAAATCCACTTCCGAAGATTGTCAATTGGTAGCCTCCACCGGCATCTCCTCCAGTTGGATCAAATGAAGTGATTAACAGCGGCACGTCTACTATGAAGCTTTCGTTACTTGCCGCAAGACCTTTGTCGGCAATGTTCAGTTGTAAAACCTGTCGACCAGATGGTGCGTTGACAATGGTGCAGATGATCAATGTCGTATTGACTGATAGGACGTCGCATGAACCATTTTTACCGATTAAAATAATATTTGCTTCGAGCTCGGTACTAAATCCAGTACCATGGATAGTCACCATTATTCCATTCTGTTCAACGGATATGATTGTAGGTGTGTGATCGATCGACCATTGAAATCCACAGTTATTATTCTCGTTTGAACAATAAGACGGAAAGCCACCAACAAGCACCTCCACCTTTTAACACAAGCAAATAAGAAAATCAAAAGAATAGAAATAACCTCACCTGAGGAGTCGTATGATAGGTTCGTAGTAAATCATTCGGAAGATTATAAAATACACTAATAGTACTACCATGTCGTATTGACAAAACGGTCATTGGGGCATCAATTGGTTTTACTTCAGATGAATTTGCGATTGAGATAAGCGGTTGTTCACCATTGGCTAACCATTGGATCGTATATGAATACTGAGCACACTCTCCTGTACGAGCAACATCTACAAAGCCAAAATCGGAAAATGATTGAAGTAGATTGGCCAAATTTGATTCAGTTATTTTCGCAGGAATCGGATAATATAGTTGTCCATTGAACATTATAGAATACTGTCCATCGACTGGCTTTGATGCATTTGTGATTGAGATCGCTTGGCCAACCTAAAAAAATGGTTTCATAATGGTTAGCTAGATAACATCATCTACTTACAGTTGGAGGTAATACTTCGATCAATGATGGTGACATGCATGCCGTATATCGAAAGAAAATATCAATAGTATGGTTCATTGTTGAATGTGCTATATGGAATGAATTATCGAGCAACTGATATTTCGGAAAGAGTCGTCGAACACCTTCGATTGATGAATTTTGACAATAAAACTTTGTATTCGGAGTTAAACCACAAATGGGCATATCGTCTTCATCAAGTATGCATGACGAGTGATTTTGGCCGTTGTAAAAGAATGGAAATCTACATAGACCTGTGGACGATTGATCGGTTGACATAATCATATTGTCTTCTTCGTATCCAATGGGTAAGGAGTCACGTAATGTGACAGTGTCAATCATGACACTTGATGGAACATAGTAGTCGAGATAGACTCGACTGATCAAAAACAAATCTGCAATCATGTACATAGTAGAATACTCCTCAAGCATGTCACGTAGATTAATGCATTTGTAATGCCAACGTGAATCATTCCTTAGAGTTAGCAATATATGTTCGATAACTGGTGGATCTTCATCAATTTGAACTTGAAAATTCATAAAAATAGGGTTCCTCGTGGTAATCTTATAAGCAAAGCACATATATTCGGCATTCAATGTATTTCCATTAACAAGGTACTCGTTTGAGTTTGTGAGTGCTCTACGACCACAGAAAGCCATGTCTGTAATGATGAATGTTTCATCATATGGGCTTGAGATTTCAAATTCATTTATGTACACAATAGACGGTGCTGCTTGTTGATTGTTCAATGATGGCGGACATCGAATGTTGAACAAGTTCATAAACTCGGTTCTTAGTGTCGTTTCACTAATAACATCCTGCCGAAAATCCAGGAAGTTTGTTGTTGCTCCATTGAGTCGAAAGGCTATCTTTAAACCCGATGCGATACCTCGTACGATTTCTGTAGCGGTCTGTGGACGACTAAATGCTGTTGATATCACAGTAAGTAGTTGAACGCCACCCATTTCGACCGGAAATGTCACTCTGTATGCGGTGTCTACAAGTGTGACCGTAACGGATAGAGGAAAGATGGTGGGCAGATCATTGAGAGCTTCCTGGACAACTTCTGGTGTGGGCGGACCATCGAGCAGTACTACATATCAATGATGAATCAAAGATTTGATTAAAAACAGAATAACATGCGTAAGCACGAACCTGTGTAGACTCCTTCGAATCCAATTTGGAATATTTCAAAAACAGCTTCTACATCTTGAACTTCAGCTATTCCATCAATCGATGAATTCGTCATGTAGACAATGCGCTGTAAAGAAAAACGGATCGTTTGCAGATGCTTTCGTTTTCTACGTCACTTGAAAATAGCGGTTTTGTTTCACCATTTTAACCGATAAGTCGAAAATTTTTAAGTGTCATCTCTTCAAATCCAAAAATTCAGAGCACAAGAGAAAACTCGAGCGGTAGACAGTCAACAATATTGGGAAGTAATTTGAGAATAATTAGTCAATGTTAAGATTCAATCGTGAGAGAATCGTTCTGTTGATACTCTAAAGCAGGGAGATGGAATATTCTTAGCTATGCAATTCAGATCGGTCTTAATGCATACAATTGAATTCAACTCAAACATAGTTTTCCTATCGAACGGCAATTTATGAACTATCTCTATTCTCTGTTTTATTCATTTCTTAAGAAAGTCTGAAAGAATTTTCCAAGAACCTGAATCTGAAGAATTCTGTGAATTTTTCTTGAAGATCCTGTTTCGAATTCTGGTGTTTTCTGTTTGTAAGATATGCCATTGCGAAAGAGGATTCTTTTTAGAATTTCTCCAAAATCCTGTTCTGATTTCTTTTTATCGAATAGGAATGAAGAATCTCATCAGGACTCACTCCCAATTCTACTCAAGATGTTGCCGACAATATCAAAAAGAATTATGCTGTACTTTATCAATTTGCATTAGGGACTATTCAAGGCATCTATATTAGAATCATCTCAAGAAGTAAAGCTAAACCAGATGAGGATCCTACAAAGAATAAAATAAGACCAATACAAATCCTAAACTGTTGAAAATTGCAAACGTTCAATCAGAATCACGTATTATTCCGCATCAGTTCTTACGATGAGGATCCTATCTACGCTTTTTCAAAATTGTGCTCGGATCTTGCCAGGAACAACTATTTCTGATTCTAACTACAGTGCCCAGTATGCTCAGGATCTTGATGAAAAAGCATAAGAGATCACTTAAGATCTTTGCACACTTTCATTTATTGTCTAGCCATAACTTGATCGTAAAGATTCTATGAAGCTCTATGACTGATCTGGTTCATGATCTTGACTAAAATGCATGCAATGTTTCTATAAAGATCTTAATGCGTGTCTGTTAAGGATACTTTCAAAATGCTTAAATATTTTAATCCCAACGAAGTTCACTACCAATGTTAAGTAAAATATTACCAAAAATAGATGAACGAGCTTCTCAAGAGAAAAATTGAAAATTCGATAAAATAGATTGCCAATTTTAGTTTAGTTATTACACTAGTGTTATCTTTATGAAAATAAATTTATTAAAATACAAATCTTTCAGTAACAATTGTTTTCAAATCAACTTTTCTATGGAGAATATCAGAAAGATGTATATATTTTGTAAACCGAATTGAAACTAGTAAGTATAGTAGAATTTTATTCCCGCAAGTCAGTATATAAATTCCTCTACTACATTTTCGGAACTTTTCTGAGAATAAATTATGTTCATGCAAAATTCCAAAATAGAAGTTAATAAACCAGACAGAATTTAAGGTATCGAAGGTTGAATTTAGAGAAAATGGCACAGTCTAGCACGGTAAGATTATTATTTTTTTAACTAAAAAGGTATAGGGGTTGTATTCTATGCACTTCATGAGATTGGAAAAAATGCTTACAATAGTCTAGCGAAATCTTCTAATGAGCAGTAAGAAAATATTTTTTCGATGAAAAAACCGGTGCAGTTCTCATAAGGCCCTGATCTAAAAGCAATGAGAAAATGCTCAGGATCCTTCTGCATTCTTGCCCTAGTCCTAGAAAAATCTTTAGTATTTCGTGGTAGAACGTTTCTTTCGAATTTACAATTTCTTGAACATGCTCATGGTTTAAAATAGATAGGTAAACTCCTAACGATCATGATAAAATCCTATTTTTAACCTTGTCAAAATCTTAAAATTCCGTGACTACACTCTTTTTTTACGACTACGTCATTTCTAAGCGGCGAGTTTATGCCAGATCTGTCTAAGATCTAACTCAGAAATGTCAACAATTTTCTCTAGGAATAAGAACTAGTCTTTCATCTATAAAAATTATACAACAAGGAAGATGACCAGAATTCCATACTGTCTGACGAGAAAAACAACGATTTCACTTTGACTTCGTTTTGATGGATGTTTCAACTTAATGAGATGTCCGATTTGAAGTAAAGAGACCAATTTATTCGAAAATTAGCAAAGCTCTTGGAAAATGAAAGAGTGAAGATTGAAAATGCAATGTGCTTGATTATCTTCGGTGAGCTTCAAGTTTTGAGAAGTCCTTGTCGTCTGAACGAAGAAAAAAGATATGTCGTGTGCCAATTCTAGCGAACAGTGTTTATTAAGTTTTATTATTGTGGCAGCAAAATGTTCGAGTTTTTATTTCACTCGAAATATAATTAGCAGTGATTTTGAAAACATTTTGTCAAGAATGAAAATAAAGGTGATAACTTCTAATGTCATACATATTGCGTAGAAGTTCTCTTAAATGAAGATAACACGATTCTTATTTATTAGATTTCAAGAAAATAAATAGCAATATGAATGCCCATAGGTAATTTTTGGTTTTTAGTTGACCGTATAACATTTCGAATTTCAATCAGAACAATTTTTCTTTCAATTCAATTGTGAAAAAATGTATGTGTGACACCTTATCCAAGTAGTTGCTAACTTAAATCTCATTCGTCAGTTATGCCAAAAAAATAATACATTGCTCCTCACGCTTTCTCCAAACGGCACCTTTCATCATATAGCGAATCATAACAACTATATGAGTACATATGAAAAGGTTTATCTAGAGCCGATTAGGCTTTACGTGATCGTCTCCATATGCGGACGATGACTTCGAAAAACAATAGATACATTGAATTCATTATTATTCGGTGACGTAAACTGTTTGACCGATTCAAATTTTTTTTATAGTATTTATCTGTTCAAAATATTTCGTTTTCCTCGTCCCGAGTATTATTTTAACTATAGAATGGTTCATAATCTCATTAGTTGGAGACACTTCTGATCGCAAGCTTTAAATTACCTGATGTTCACTGCTAATATCGCCACCAATAGTAATTTGTTGAATTTCACTCGTACCTGGAGAACTACTCCATGTCCTGGAATTGAATTGTTGCATTCCTACTTTTATTGATAAACGAAAATTACCACCGTAGTAGATGGAGCCCACACAGAACATGTAATAGCTATATGAAATTACCCACGAAGATGAATGATCTTCTGTTAATTTTTCTTTCACTCACTTAGTATTATTTCGTAGCATAATTCTGCGTGATTCAGTGGCCACATGAGTTGCAATTTTAACTTTGCTATCTGGATTTTCATCACTGCTTAGGTACAATGTAGCGTAGCTATTCGTTTCTAATAGAAATGTGAATGTGGCCGTCATCGGTGCGCGCAGAAACCCTATGAACCATACTGTAGTAGGAGATGAAAAATCAGAAGAAAAAGAGGCTTCTCCAGTCCATGTCCGAGTGGCATTGACACTGGGTATTGGAGGACTTGCATTGCCCAAATTATTCTAGACAATACCAAAGAAAACAAATAGATTAGTACATCACGGAACAACAATAAGTATCTAACATACTAAATCAATAAAACCAGATTGGTAATAGATATGCAGGCCACGACCCCCTACAAATGACTGTGAAATAATTAACTTCATTGGACAATCAACTTACCATGATAATGGTTTCGACTGTTGACAGGTATCATCGATGTTTTACATTGAATTGTAGTCAAATTGGTACTCAGAATAGTACACGGTTCATCACCAATATTGACAACCAATGGATACCGACTACTCGCACTGAAATAGTCGCCGTTAATTGTCAAGATCGTGCCACCTTCTACACTTCCACTGTTGGACGAGACATTCGTTAGAACTATTTAGTAAGAATGAAAAATAATTCAAATAAGCATAGCAATAGATAGAGAGAAGCACAAACCAGCGTAGGTTTCAAAATTGTGTAGTTGACCAGTGCCCGACATTCGATATAGGCTTGTATCGGTCGACGAACGACCGTATTCGTTTGTAATAAGCATAGTCACATTGAATACACCTGCCGATTAAAAGACGTTCGAAACACATATTGCATGGGTATTATGCAAACAAAAAAATGTTACTTGCTTACCGACTTCGTTGCTCTCAAAACGACATTGAAGGTAGGTATAATTCAGAGTGGAATAGCTACACATCAAAAGATAATAGTTTGATATTATTATATACAGATAAACTTACTAGCCAGCACTGTCTGTATCGATCAGATTACACAATTGACCACCGATGTATATTCTAGATGAATTATTGTCGGAAGCATAGCAAGAATAGTCGAATCAAACGGATCTTACCGAGAAATGACTGGTACATTTGCTCCTGAGCAACCCTCAAAGTCACGTAAGTAACATCGGGATTTGAAGTCTCCATATAATGTAACCAATCTTTGTGGTAAGCCTGATGCCGGTGATATTTTAGTGATATGTGGTGTGTTACTTTGGCTTGATATAAACGTAGTCAAATACGGATAACTGTACTGAGACAGTGGGATCAAATTGCCTTGAACTATAACTCGAACTAGATATTCTCCAGGAGGCAATTGCGGAGTGTAGCAAGTCAACTGAGTATCGGTCACTTTTTCGATGTGCATTCGACAGTTATAGATATCATTTCCTCGAGTTAACTGTACAGCATTCGACGTTGCTGTTGATGGTAAAATACTGAAAGCATT